TCTCGTATGGAACGCTGCCATATCGGCCGGCACCGGAGTCGATCCTTCTACTTCTCTAACCTACAACATAAATTGAATAAACGGATCTGTGCAATCATTATTCAAATATAACTTGAAGAACTATGGCAGTCAAATAAAGGGAATTTTCAAAACTCAGTAAACCCTCCAAACAGAAATACACTCCGAAAAATACAGAGAATTTCGAGCATTCAAACAGAACCCAGGCTGGAACGCACCAGGCAAGCCGGCGCGATCATGCGTTTTACACTTTTCGTGCCGTAGCAACTCCGTGCCGTAGCAGGCCTGGTCAACTGAATTTGAAATCTTATAGTCATGCATGGGCAGGGAAAATTACCTAAAGTTTCAGCTTTCTAGCTCTCCTTTTTCCTGAGTTAGTAGTTTTCCCGTCAAGATCTCCACGTGCCCGTACGTGAGCCCCGGGCGGTTCTGAGGAGCTGAATATGAAAACTTTTGGTCGTACGTGAGCAGGGAACATTGCCCCAAAGTTTCAACTTTCTAGCTTTGTGAATTTTTCCGCCAAAATTTCCACGTGGCCGCACGTAAGCCCCGGGCAGTCCTGGGTAGCTGAATTTGGAATCTTTTTGTCATACGCAAATAGGGGACATTAGGAGACATTACCCTAAAGTTTCAGCTTTCTAGCTTTTCTCGTTCCCGAGTTAGCAATTTTCTCGCCAAAACTTCACGTGGTCGTACGCGAGGCTTAGACGTGCGTGAGGGTTGATACTGCGGTCTTGGGATGGCATTTGGCTGGGGAACACACTGCCAAAATTTCAGCTTCAGAGCTTGCGTGGTTGACGACTTGAAATACCCTGACACACATACATACATATATATATATATACACACACACACACACTGACAGGGTCGTTGCAATATGCATTTTTGTTGCCTGTTGCAGCGCTCTAGAGCTGCGCGAAACGCATAATAATTAAAATTTATTTTCTGAAATAAATCACTCAAATCGAAAACCAGCAGCAGCCCAGTTTCCATTGGCGATAAATATCCGACACATATAGAAAACCGATGTTTTATTGCTTACTAAGAATACCGGAACTATCAGTGCTCGGTTTACCGTTCGGACTATTGGTTATTCATAACTATACAAAACTGTATTCAGAGAGAAAGTGCAAAAAAAGAAGGTTAAACGTAAAAGCTAAAATCTACAGCTTAAAAATTAACAATACCATGCAAGCTTAAACGGGCAAGGTGTGGCCCAGTGTCCTCTCAACAAGCCTGAAAGTGCCCGAGTTTATATTTGTTGATGTCTCTATATTACCTACTCCGTTGCCACTTCTACACAATAATGGGGTAATTGGGTCAGATTTTCGCGAAATTACGCACAGATTGGAAAAAAAAAATTATAATTCTTCAATAAAAAAACACGCAAGCACAGACACACTGATAAACCAAGAATACCAAAACTGCCCGGCCAACCAGCTTGGGATCCCATGCAAATAGTACTGCTAGCTCCACACGCCGGGCACGATTGTGCCAGACTGTCTTCTAAGCGGAGAAATTCAGACTTTAAAGATTTTTATGTTGCGATAACGACATCCTCAAAAATATTTGTGGCGACGGTGTCTTCGCCGCTATCTTGTGAAAGCTTTTACTTTATGTGTCCCTAAGTGTAATGGTGGATTTCCCCATACCTTAATGTATTTGCAGTGGCTTAGACTGTAAGGGCGGTAGGGGCCAACCTCCGCCTATCCTCCGTTTCCCAGTCATCTTTTACGAGACCCGACGAAAGCAGGCAGTTTACTCTCGAGTGGCCCGTCCTATACTACTGGAGGGGGCCCATCCTGCGCTACTGGAGGAGCAGCTGGTTCTTAAGTCTGGGTTGCTACAAGAATTATTAGGACTGTCTGAGTGCCGGCGGAGCCCTCTCCTACTTTTGACACTCCACAAATGGCTGGTTTTCGGCTCTTGTTCTGCAATCATCAACTCGGGATGGTTGCATTTAGGTCATCCTTGGGCCTTACAGTCTTGCATCTGAGCTCTGTTTTTCCGGTCGAGCTTCCTGCATTAGACACTTGCAGGCATCTGCCTTTCGGCTTTCTTCTGCGTCGTAGGATAAACTCGCAGACCGTACTGATTGAGAAGCGTAACTCTGTCGAGTTGAACCACCACCCAGAGAAGAGTTCTTTTTTTGCGACAGTGCCGAAATGCTCACCTACATGCACAAACAAACACACATGCACACACACACACACACACACACACACACACATACATACATACACACCATATAAACATACACACCAAATTTTAATTTTTTTTTTGAAAGCAAAGAAAAAAACTCTACATATTTTATGGGAGAGGCATGGTGCGAAACAGCAAACTTAATAAACAATGAAGCCAAATCTTCAAATTCCGGAAAGTGCTGATAATAGGAGATTTGGGAAATCTATTGTTTCAAGAAATTTACCGCATTTTC